CTTTACAGTTCCGCACTGTTTTGTGCATGAAAAAATTTCATAACAAAAAAGACAGTATAATTATTAGTTTAAGTAGCATTGGTGTGTGCTTTCAGAAAATGCTGTCTTGTTTGTCAAATATTTCTTTCAACAAAAGTAACATGTTCAGTTCCTGTTTACGTACCACCCAGCGAAAAGTAGACAAACTTAAATTTGCATATGTGCTGAACAGCACATGCCTGGTACCATGATATGTCCACAATGAAATTCTGACCCTGTCTCTGAGAAAAGTGTAAATTTTGTGTTTTTCTTCCTTGAAGGAGACAGAAAGTAGTTGAGCCAATTTCATTTTGTTGACCAGCCAAAGTCGCTAGTGGAAATTGAAAACCTACTAGCCAAAACTAAATTTCTACTAGTCTGTGGCTAGTTCGCTACCGTTAGTGTTGAGCCCTGGTAGATGTTATAAATAATAATATTGCGACACTTAAATAGAGCTGAACTGGAATGTTTTTGTTTTGTTTTGTTATTAGTTTGTTATTTTTTTTTGCATATGTAAGTAGTTCATCATTTGTATGCTGTAACTGTATGGTTGTCATTTGTTAAATTTGGTTTTTTCTTTTGTCAGAGTTAACTTGTATAATACCATCTTGTAAACAATTTTTGTATTTCAAGATAAAGCATATATGTATATAAAAAATAACAGGTGCAAAGAAGAAAGCTTGTTAGTAGTCACTTAAAGTATTCTGTGTGAAACTAAATTGGCCACACTCGATATCTTAATATTCTAACATGGCTCCGAGGCTTTCAGGACAAAATTGTAAATTTTTAAAGTTCTTTTTGGTCCATAATTCCCAAAAGAGACTTGGATACAAAGAACCACCAAATATAGAAGTTTGTCCTTCAAAAGCCTCGGAGCCATGTTAGAACCTTGATATATCAAACATGGCCTATTGTCAAATATTCTGTAAACGTCTATTGCTGTCTCTGTCTTTTAGGGCTTATGTCTGGATTGACGATGGGCCTGCTCTCATTGGATATTTTGAGTTTAAAGGTTCTTCAAAGAGGAGGGAAGCCATTAGAGAAGAAACATGCCAGTAAAATTTTGCCAATTGTAGAAAGACATCACTTGCTTCTGGTCACCCTTTTGTTGGCAAATGCTGCAGCAGTGGAATCCATGCCCATTTTCATGGACAGGATATCCAGTCCTATTATTGCCATCTGTGTTTCGGTTACTGCTGTGCTGTTTTTTGGAGAGTAAGAGAATTATTGTTTTGTGGAACTTTATAAAACAATGTGATTACTTGAGAGAAACGTTGTATAGCTGAATGATGATTTTCATGAACAAAGTGTTGTATCTTGCTTTTCATTTTGTTGACAGGGTTGTCCCTCAAGCCTTATGTACCCGTTATGGCCTGGCAATTGGTGCAACATTTGCACCGTAAGTTCTTTCTTGTCTTTCTGTGTTAATTCAAACTATATTTGGTCATTTTTACCACCCTTATAGCTAATAGATCCCAACTTTAAGTTAAATAATAATTATTATTATTAATTGTTATAATTATATTATTAAATAATATTAATTGTTATATTTCCAATTGTATTTACATTTGAGGGAGGCGCAGGGCCTTGTGGTCAGTATGCTCAACTCCGGATTGACCGGTCCGGGTTTGAGCCCTGGCTGGGGACATTGTGTTGTGTTTTTGAGCAAGATACTTTACTCTCATAATGCCTCTCTCCACCCAGGTGTATAAATGGGTACTGGTGAATTAAATGCTAGGGGTAACCCTGGGATAGGCTAACTTCCTATCCAGGCGGGAGTAGAAATACTCCTAGTTGCTTCATACAACAGAAACCAGAGATAAACGCCAGCCTGGTCGGCCACTTGGCTTGCATGCAGACTTTACCCTCACATTAAATTTCAAACAAACACTTTTTCACTCAGAAACACTTTTTTCATGTACCAAATTGAATATGGTTTTCCATTAGGTTTGTGAAAGTGTTGATGGTGTTACTGTTTATCGTTGCTTGGCCCATTTCCAAGTTGTTGGACTGTCTGCTCGGACATGAACACTCTACATTCTTCAGGAGAGCAGGTACATCTTGCTGACATTTCTCCTTGCATCAACTCTTAAGGTGTATTGTTGCTGACAACATACAAGTACATGTACAGCTGAACACTGCCATGTTGAACTCTCAAAATAACTGGGTCAAGATAAAATGCGAGAGTGATTATAATATTCAGAACCTGAGTCATGCAGTTTTTTCTTGACGAGTTCTTATATGATAACACCTTGTCCTGTTGACAAACTTTTTAAAAAAATATAAAATTAAAAAGTGTAGTGGAAGGTTAAATAAGTGGTGTTCTGACATGCTACTATGTTATTTTTCAACTCCACTGCCGTACTACTGTTGAAGTTCAAAATAATCAGGGTTGATCTTAGGCTAAGGTAAACAAAACTCAGTTCAAAATACATAGAAGGGAGTTGAACCAAACAGGTTTGTTGCAGCTGAGAGTAAAAGTCTAAAAAAACTAGGGTATATCCAAGGAACATGGGTCTGAGGCCAAAACTGTGGGGAGGCTGGAATTACGAAGTTCAAATAACTGGGGCTCAACCTTACCTGTTAGTGTACTGGGTGGCCTTAGGTGCATTTGTGTCTGTTTGATATTTGTTAAACATGTCTCTTTTCTTTTTCCCTTCAGAATTACGAGAACTTGTTGATCTTCACAGAGAGTCAACAGATGCAAATGAGGATCCTTTAAGAGAAGATGAAGTTATGATTATACAGGTCTGCCTTTAGCTTGAAATTTTATAAACCATTTTCCTGTTCACTTTTGCTATGTTTCTGATTTTGATAATGAATATAACAGAAGAGTCCCTTGCAGCTTATCATAATTCAACAGTTTGTCAGGTTGCTTAATAGCACACTTTTACTCTTTGGTTGGAGTGAGGCTCTGTGAGATTGAGGTGTCTTGTTCAAATATACAATGTGCATTATGTTTATAAGCCCAGCTGGGTCCCAAAATGGAAATGTTAGAAAAGTTTCTGAACCCTTGTCAAGTTTTTATACCTGCTCAAAGCATTTAGGGGTTTATGTTGCAGCTCTTTTAAGGTCTTAGTGGGAGGTGCGATGGCCTCATAGTTAGTGCACTCTTCTCTGCAGCAAGCGGTCCGGGTTCAAGCCCTGACTGGGGACACGGTGTTGTGTTCTTGGGCAAGACACTTAACTCTCACAGTGCCTCTCTCCACCCAGGAGTATAAATTGGTACCGGCAAATTGTTGGGGAAACCTAACAAAATGAGGGAGAGTGACCTGCAATGGACTAGCATCCCGTCCCGTCCGCTTCATCCTACAGAAACCAGGATAAGCTCTGGCAGCTATGAGCCATCAGCTCCAAGGCTTCACTTCTTTTTTCTTTCTTTTAAGGTCTTACTGAATTGGCTTAGAGAATTTAAAAGAAGCAACTGAAAGAAATAACCATGGTTTGGAGGTTAACTGGGGTACTTCATACATTGGACTACTGTAGATGTATGTTAACAAACTGTGGAAACCAGCCCTGCTCCCCATTCTTTTGTGGTGAACGCAATATGTTAAATGATGTTTTGTAACTTTAGGGAGCACTAGAAATGAGAAACAAAACAGTTGAGGATAAGTACACACCCCTGGACAAAGTATTCATGGTGGAAGCAAATGGCAAACTAGACCACGAAACAATGAGAGAGGTAACTTTTGAAATAACTACATGATGTTACCTGAGTTTAGCCTTAATAGCTCTCAACAGTGATCATTTTCAAATGTTTCCTTGCTATCAACATCTATTTCATGATCTTGACTTGCTACTCTGCTGGGAAAATCAGCCAGCTACCCCAGAAATAAAGCTGCCCACTTGAAAACTTTGTGACAACTCTGCTTTTCTTGATATGAATATGTTGTTAGTACACAGTTGATGAGAACAAGGCAGAGTCATCAACTTAAGGTTCTTGGTTACATTTGTAGAAATGTATAGTAATCAGTAAGGAGAATTACTTTTTTGAAATTGTAACTGAAAAGCCATGTCTGAAAAGGAATTATAAGCAGTGTTTGGCAATTATTCCCAACAAGACCCCAGGGGTAACTCTCATATAAAAAGAATGGGGTGCCTAGATTGTCGTACATTATAGGGGTTAAAAATGCACTTTTTGTGCCTCTCAAGGTGTTCAGTCTCAAAAGGCCTACAGCAGGATCTTTTGCAGTACCTTTTAGAGTACTGAGCCAAAAAAAATATGACAGGAGATACAGTTGAACCTCTGGTTGCGACCACCTGTCGTAAACAACCACCGCTCCTCAGCGACCAGTTCTAAAAAATGCCAAAAGTTTTCAGGTCAAATCACTATATGTGGAACCTCTTGTAAGTGACCACCTCTCGTAAACAACCGGGACCACTTTCAGAGCTAAAAGTTTGAAATTTTCTTTTGTTTTAACCTCCTGTAAGTGACCACTTGACAGATAAAAGTGTGAAAATTGGATAATGAGGTGTTGTAACATTATCGCATTCCTGGATAGTACAAGAGATTGAAATTTCTCAATGGGAAGTCCCGTATTTTTTCTCAAAATTGACTTTTCATATGAATAAACCATTTAAATATCTCTAAGTCTCTGCCTGCATCCAAAAAACAATAATTAAAATTTGTTTACTAAGTTTAGTACTTTTTTGTCTAATGTTTTGCTGGAGAGTGGTCTTGTTCCCGGAAGAGGGTAGGGACTCTCATGCAAAAAGGACAAGGGTGCTTGTAAGAATTTTGAAAAGAATCCCCAAGAGGTACCAAGATCCTGTTTTGTGGACATGGCTTGATATTTTTTTCACCCTTAAGAGGAACCAATTCTGAGACAAAATTAAAAAACAGTTTATTTTGAAATACAGTTGAACCTCTGGTAGGCAGTCACCCAAAATGTCAAGCCTATCTGGTCGCTTACAGGAGGTGGTTGCTTTTACGAGTGCTTAGACCATATTTAGGTCAAAATTTTGCCTCATTGGCATATGGTAACTGTGAACAAAATTCGATAAAGAAGGACTCTGTACCAAGGTTGACATCGTCCATCGCTTCAGGCTGAAATGTATAGAGGCCTCTTTATTGTGTAGAATGATATGACTGTGATTCACTGGAGCTCATATAATATTGAATTATTTGATTTTATAGATCAGCAGAAAAGGTCATTCACGTGTGCCAGTGTTCGAGGGAGACAAAGGAAACATTGTTGGACTCTTATTTGTCAAGTCTCTTATCATGATTGATCCTGATGATGCCACACCCATTAAGGACATTTATAAAGCAGGTTCTTTTCTGAAATCATCAACAACTGAACCACTGTTTGAGTTGCTGGACAAGTTTCAGACTGGACGAAGTAAGTGTACTTGTTGGATTCTGCAGTCACTCCTTCAGGGTGTAATATTTGGCGATACGTTTTTACTCCCAGCAACTGCCATTTCTCATATTTCTACGTCGCAATGCACCGCACTCGTGCCCAGCTTCTGCCATTTCACATTACACAGCCCTCGTCCCCAGTTACTACTCTACCACGCGTCACACTCCTAATAACTACACCTTTTAAGGTTTAGCCTGGGGGAGGGGGTGGCTGGTTTGATAAACCTGACTGTAACTAGAAATATACCTGGCTCTTTATGTTGTGGGAAAAAACCAGGCTAACTGATCTGTAGTATCTATCTATGTAAGATTTGACTTTGGTTACGTGTCGTGAAAGCGATTATTTAAAAGAATTCTGAGCAAATTTATTCTCTCCCATTCAGGTCATCTCTGTGTTGTGTATAAGACACAAATAGACGAAGGTAATCAGGTGCAATCGGTACGTGATTGGCTTAAGGGCAAGTATGAATTTTGAAGATGATTTTCAGGGCATACACTTAGTCGGGTGACAAATCTTCCTTGTTTGGAATCCTTGTACTTAGTTTTCATAGGGCAGGCTAAAGATAAAATGCGCCAATGTTCGTTTGTAACCCCGAAACCAATGAAGTAGTTTAGCCCTGAAAAATACTCTGTATCTACGACCTTCTCTTTCATGATCCTAAATGAAAGTTGCTTGGGAACGAGGCTGGCTTGTTTTCTAGATGAAAATTTTTCGTCAAATTCTGCTTACTATCCCAGATTTAGGGTAAAAAGGTTGATGTTGATAACTGTTAACACTGTAGTCCAGCTCGAAGTAGTATCTTATCTACTTATCATGACCCGTAAAGGCTCTTGGCGTGTTAAGTGGGCGTGACAAGTCGGCGTGACAACTTTCGGCGCGTTCATAATTGTTGTCAGCGGCAATTTTCGCCGGAATCGGATTTAGAAAGAGAGTCCCAGACTCTGAAAAATCTTCACTTAATTGCTCTTTGTAGTGCTAGCTTTAACATAAGAGCAAAGAGCAGAGAATCATCAAATGGAAGATCAACAACATACACGCACTATGCTGGGAAGGCTTCTCGTGAAGCGGCCATGATTCCGGCCGTGGGATCCTGAACTCTGACTCGCCAACGCGGCTTGTGAGACACTATTCTCTGCTGTGAACAACACACACGTCTCGCCCTCGACCTCCACCTTCCCGCTGAGTGTGCGATTTGTTACCTTGTGGCTCCATTTCTAGGTGTCGTTTTAATCTGTTGTTTTCTTTGCAGCGAGTGGTTGGCATCATAACTTTAGAGGATGTGCTAGAGTTACTAATACAGGAAGAAATTTGGGACGAATCAGACATAACTCGATCTCGCCCTAATGTGCAAAGACAGGTTTCTCTTGCGAAAGCTAAGATGAAGCGAATGAAATCAGTAGACGGTGAGAGAGGACGAGGACCACTCAGTCCATCCTGTATCCAGCAACCAGAGGTAAGTCTTCGACTTAACCGTTCTTTGTGTCTTATAGTAAATTGTGTTATGTGGCTCCTGTCATATGGCCACCTGTTGAAAATACTCTTCAATAACTTTCATTTCGATGGTCACACGTGAGGGTTACATCCACAGACTGAAAAGGTAGAACCAACTGGGACAGCTTATAGTAAGCAATACCACATGAAAGTACTGTTCAGTAGTAGCTTTTTTTAAAAAATGGTCACACACAAGTCACAAGGGTTTTATCCGAAGATTAAAAAAGCTAGAATCACCTTATACGGTATATTAAAGTGCACCTGGTGAAAGTGCTTCTCGAGAGCTTTCATTTGAATGGTTACACACAAAGGGTTCATCAATAGACTGAAAAGTAGAACAACCTTGTACAGCATAATAAACAGTACAACATGAAAGTACTGCTCAATAGCTTTCATTTAAATGGCCACACTATGGTTCCATCCACAGACTGGGAAGTTATAATCACCAGCCTAAGTAGAACTAATACATGAACGTACTGCTTAGTAGCTTTCACCTAATTGGTCACACACATCAGGGTGTGCAGTTCTTCCTTGTGCTTGTCACGGGCTCCTTCCCCTAGCCAAAAGAGCGTCTGTGTCGGTGATGTTTTCTTGATGTGACACCAAATTCTCCGAAGACACATAAAAAGAAATATATGTCCTTCGGCAAGGAGAATTAACGTTATGATCTTTGCACTGCAAAGGTCGGGTAGGACGTTTCTCTGAAATAAGTATTTGCTTCTCACAGGAGGCTTTGCCGAGGACATCTGAGACCACAAGTGACACTCAGCCCCTTCTGGGAGACAGCCGGATACAGAGATTTTGATTGCACGATCACAATCGAGTGCTATTATTCCACGAGTTTTGAACGTGGAATACCACGCTGCTCTTAAGAAAGTTTCAATTCTAAATTCCAATTTGCTTTCTCGGAATGACTTCTATACGCAGACTGGTATCGTAACGGACTCGGTACGATTTTGCAGGTAGATTGTTCGTGTTTAGCGCGTATACAGTGGAATCCCAATTTTTCGAACCTCCAAGGGAAACGAAAATAGTAGTAGTTGAAGAAATCGGTGGTCAAATGACAGTGTTCGACTTAGTGGAGGGAAACGACTTTTGATTTGTGTTATCGAAAGGTTCGAAAAATCAAGTGCTCGGGATTCCACCTTGTGGTGATCTCTTCCCAGACTCGTACCCACTCGCTATTTACGTGTTTTGGGGAGAGAAGATTGGATACTAGGGTGGATTCACGCGGGGTGGGGTTTCCAGGGAAGGGTCCTTTTCCGCGCGCTCCACTCGAACCAGACCGCTTTCTCTTTGTAACAGTTCAATCTGACCCGCAAATAGCGACTGGGTACAAGCCTGATCTCTTCCCTTTTTTCCTCTCCCTTTCCCTTCCCACTTACCAACTTACACACATACACGCTCTTGAAGTCTTAGCTCGTCCATGTTTCTTTTATCCTCATTGCCTCTAATCTAAAATGTACAAATTACAAGAACTGTCTTTGATTGGATGTTATTCTAACTTTTGGTATAGATAACGAAAATAACATGCATGTTGTGTTTGGTAAATAGCTATGGACTATTTTCGTCAACCCCTAGTAGTCCTTTCATAACAGCAATATATCACACTTGTCATTGGTAATGTAGCAGACACTCACTTATGAGCGAATCTGAATGGTTCTCTCATCAGACTACTTAACATTAGATTATGAGCTCGAGATTTCTCTGAGGTGAGAGGACCTCATAGACTGAAATTTCGAACTCAGAATCGAATTGTTTTAGTGGAATTCTATCTAAATTTCCTTCGAATAACGATTTCCAATCATTTCTCAATATAGAGTTTATGCTTTAGCAACATTGCGCCGATTATATTATTATTTAAAACTTGCAGTTGATCAAATGCGTTCATCGGCTCATTGCTAAGTCGCATAACGGTCAGTTTCCTTTCTTTAGTGTTTATTTATCCAGTAATATTTCTAAATCGTCATCGAAACGTAACAGAAACTAGAAAACGTTGCCATTATGTTGAAGACATCTAGCCACTGCACTCTTTTGGCTGATAGTATACGAGTAGCCCAGCCAATCAGATTGCAGCATTTGTATTAGTATAGTAGTAGAATTCTACTTATCAGCACCAGACCACCATCGTGCTCGCGCGCGTTTCCTTCAGAAAGGGAATAATGTATTCTTGATTTTTAGAAATAACTAAAATGATAGTTTTCCAATTGCTATCTGTTACAATGTCAACTAAAGCAATTACACAACTCGCCCTTGCTTTTTACGAGCACTAGTCAATTCTGCTGCGCACATGTTTTAATTCAGCCACCACCCCCCTTACCTCCCGCACCGCAAAATCCATGGTTGATTTATTCCTTTACCAAAGAGGTCCCCTCGTTTCTCGATTATTTAAATGTTAAATAGGAATAAATAAGAATATAAAAAAATGTCCTTCCTTTTTTGGCTAATCGCTGAATTTGGCAAATCATAAGCCGTGAAATTTAACGATATGTCCCTTGTCAGTATCACGATTTGAACTAGCGAGGTATAAAAAAAGAAAACATTGAATAGGTGAATAAAAGATTTCCAAAAAATTGAACTCCTTTGTATTTTCCTTTCTATTTAACACGAATTTCAAAACCGAGGATAACCCGAGCACAATTATTGTAATTAGAAAACTCTAAAGCAAAACATGCCGTTATTAATAATTATCTCTCCCTGCTTTCCCCCTCCCACCCCCCCACCCCCCCCCGTCCGTAATTTTGGCATGTGTCTGTTGGTTTTCCAGTTGCTCTTCCAGTCAAAAACCAGGTCGGGAAGGTGAAGCATTACGAGTAGCCACGTACCATTACTGCACGCGCGTTAGTTCATTTTTGATTGGCTGCGCAGTCTGGGAAACCAACAGTGAGATTTCCAAAACAGAAACTTTATTTCAGCAAGAGCCACGGGTAGGCTGTGAACAGGCTCTGGCTGGAAGGGTCTGACCACGGCTGGAAGGGTCTGACCACGGCTGGAAGGGCCAAGAAAGAACTGGCTGAGAGTGAAATGGCCTCTTTCCCTTTTTTCTCCCATCCTCGACTATAGAGAGCCTGTTCACAGGCGAGAGCTACGGGCCGCGTTTGTTTCATTGAAAGTTGTACATGTAATGTGTTGATATTGAGTCTGTGGACAGCAACTCCTTCGTCTGATTCTTCGCGCGTGCTCGCATAATCAAGAACGGAACACGAGAGATTTATGTACCGTTCACTGGTCAGGTCTACTTCAACTAGTGGCTAAAACTTTGTAAGGTTTTATGAAGACGTCGTTGGGGACATAGTGGTGTTTACTGTTGGAGTCGCTACTGCTTCGAAGGACTCGTCATACAAAAATCCTGCAAATAAAAAATGCAGTGGGATAAACGCACGAACCAAACGAGCTAAGGGGTTTTTGAAGTGGATGGCAGACTGTGATACAAACCTTGGGAAATTGTTTGCCTAGTTCCTGTACGGCTTTCTCCCAGGCTTTCACGGTCAACTGATTTCAGTGATGTGAAGGTGAATTAATCAACATGACACGAGCGTGGAACAAAGAAAAATTCTGAGTCCCCGACAGGAATNCGAACCCATGACCTCCCGAACACCGGGCGGGCGCTCTATCCACTGAGCTACGAGAACTCATGGAGAGCAAGGTTATTTAACTGAGTTCATATAGTGACTTATCCGGGACGAACCACCCCAAGTACCACTTTTCGTTCCGACTACGTGACCCGAAAACGATAGACCAAGGAAAGCGTAGCATGACGTCATTCTCCTTGAGTGCGATGTGACGTCATATATGATGTCCATAACAATTATACCTTATCTTTTTAGACTACTTAATGAGTATTTCAGCCTGTGTTGTTACAGTTTTTAGTAGCTATAACCACCCAGCACTCACCAGCAATGCTAGCCGTCATGAAGCAAGCGATCGTTGCTGCAAACAGGGTCCGTACAGCAATTCTGGCCATGTCCCCCTGTCGACTGGGCGCCATTGGACCCAGTCCTCCGAGTAATACGCCCAGGCCGAGAAAGTTTGTGAATCCACAAAGCGCATAAGTAGCGATAACTTCCGATCGACGCTGCAATAAAAAACAAGATGACCAAGTTATAAAATATAGTCGTCTTTGAAACAAGTCTGCCTAGTCTCAATAAATACCAAAAGAAGCATTTTCGGAAACTTTCAGTCCTAAAGTCTGATCATGATAACCCTGTGATGTAGAAACGAAGAACTTTGGATTATCTTCGTAAACCTTCGGTAACTTTGGAAGTCTTCCGAAAACTCAGATCACTTTCGGAAGTGCTTGCGCTTACCTTCGCAGTGGCGGATCTAGGGAAGGGGCCCGGGGCCCCCACCCCCTTATTTTGGGTAAAAAAAAAAATCTCAGAAGGAAGAAAAGCCGGCAGGGCAAGCAAACAAACCGCTTCCCCCCCCCCCCCCCCTTCCCACCCCGCCCCTTAGCTCAAGGTCTGGACTCGACACTTAAAAGTTTCGAAATTCTTACCGATATTGTGGGTCCTCCGTTCATTTCCTGTCGGTTCTTTATATATGGCGCCATCTCAAGGTAAGCTATGAACTCGTTGAGAAACGTTTTAATCCCAAGGAACCTCCCCACCGTATTGCAGTCGGCCCAGTCCACTCCCATGAGAAACGCGAACGGCATGAAGAGGTACGAGCAGATTGTCTGAGGGGAGGGATGAGACAGATGATGGACAAGTTAGTAGCTGATTTATCGTTGTCATTCAGGTTTTAAGGCCCCGACCACACTAATGCGTTTTCGCCTGAAAACGCATGATTTTTGATGCGTTTTCGCCTGTAGTCCACTCTAAAACGACCGGAAACGCCAATGAAAACGGAGGCTTTCAAAAACGGTTTTGAAAGTGGAACATTTTGAAAACCCTCCGTTTCTAGTGTGGATAGGTGAACACGGAGGCCTTTGAAAATGGTGACAAAAAAGCGTCATATACTGTCATTTCCATCAGCGTTTTCAGGCGTTTTTAAGTGTGGACGATGGGTGAAAACGTATCAAGAAGTGTGGTGAATCAATGTGGACAGGTGAAAACAAAACGGAAACGCTAGTGTGGTCGAAAATATTTTGCTTTGTTTTCTTCGAAATGAAAACAGAGACTTGAAAACGCATTGGTGTGGTCGGGGCCTAAGGCACGTAGCCTTCAAGAGGTACCACCCGATCACAAGCGATTCCAGTGGCCATATTTTCTAATTATTATGTCACGTGATGCGCTCTCGTCAAATTGAGACATGAGTTCCAAATGCCGATAACACTGCTATCTTATAAGAATTTGAGTCTACGGATTGGACTTTCATGATCATAACACTGATTTTCAACGCGATCTCAACTAAATTAACAACGACGTGAAAGCAAAATTAAAATCAACTTGCCTGAAAGCTGAGTTCAGGGTATCCCACCATTCTTCCCAAGTACGACAGTACCGCGTTGAAAAACGCGATGAATGCGAAGAACGTGATGAGCATGGCGGCAACATTGGCAACCAAAGAGATGGCAGTGGACGCTCCCTTGGCTGCAGCCTCAATAACATTTCTTTCTTCTCTGAAGAGATATGTAAATGAAAATAGACAATGCAGTTGAGTACATGTGCTACAGAAAAAGTGCTCGTGAAACGAATTGCGACTCGATGAAAAGAGTTCGTACCTACCTCTCGTTAGGTGGGCGAGGTCGGCGCGCACGATTCTTCCCTCGTTCGAGAGAATATGATGATTACGTAGTCCTAGCGCTACCCGTGAAGGTTCTCTGACTGTTCGTTTCTCGATTTTGAATTTTCGCGCGTAAGTGACAACCGATATAAAACAGATCTCTGAACATACTCAAAGAGAACATCGTCTTTGATCGTCTAGCATGATTTAGGGTGCGTTTCTTTGCGGTGATGCGGATCCAGAACAGGATCTCTCGGGTCATGGTGCATCAAAGGAACCGATGAATCGGAGCCCGGAGTAGATTTATTGGTTCCTTTAATGCACCATGATCCGAGTGATCTTGGATGATTAAATTGATCCTGATCCGGATCATCCCAAAGGAACGCAGAGATGACAGACGATGGCAAGAATGGGTCTATGAGACGGGATTTTGATGAATAGCCTAGCAAGTGTTTGTCGAATAAAGAACCTTACTGTGGTAAAAGACCCCCTAGGGACTCAAGTGACCAGAATACTTACGGTTTGTCGAAATGTATATCGTCCTGTGACTTAGTCTGCGGCACTTCTGTCTCTGGATACATGATTTTAGACACAGCTAAAGCAGCAGGTGCCGACATCACTGAGGCTGCGACCAAATGAGAGGCTTGAATCCCAACACCAATATAGGCAGCCATGATTCCTCCTGCAACAGTGGCCAGGCCTCCTGTCATGACCGCGTGGAGCTCGGATTGAGTGAGAGCTGCAAGGAATGGTCTGATCATCAAAGGTGCTTCAGTCTGGAGAAATAGAGCAAAAAATTGCTGACGAAGAAGTACCAGACCAAGTTGATGCTATACAAGGTGTTGGCATAGCTTTTGGTACGCCACATAACAGTTTTCAGTAACGGAGCAAGAAAACAGAATTACTCTACCTGTCCTACGAAAATATTACCAGCGGCTGAGAGAGACTCGGCAGCAGAGGTTCCCATGGTTACTTGCATGAGCCAGGCAATCTTTGTTATAATCAGCGGCATCACACCCAAGTAGTAAAGCACCGAGATAAAAGAACTGAAGAAGATGATGACCGTGAGAACCTGGAAAAGATTTCAACATAAGTCAATGAACATAGGGCAAGACCTTTGCAACGACAACTTGTTCAGTTTGGTTGCAAAATAAGTTGTACGTGACCCTGCTGGTAAGTGAAATATACAACGGTGTAGCACCTTTTATTCACTAAGGCTCCGCCCATATACGTACACTACGCCGGAGAAATTTGAAAACGCAGCTTTATTCTACGGTTAGGCCTATCGTCCACACTAATCCGTCAAGAAATCGGAGCTTCTCAAAAACGCTCTTCAAATAAAAAACGCCGGCTTTGCGTTTTAGCGTGGAGAGAAACATTTTGGAAGCGAAGACGTGATGATAATCACGTGATTTCTCTGACCGAGTTTTCCTCAAACACAAATTCAAAATGGCCGGGGATTTGTTGCGTTTTCAAATTTCTCCAGAGTAGTGTGGACGGAAAACATCTAATGCATTTTGAGAGTGAAAACGCCTTTTTCAAATTTCAATGGCCTAGAGTGAACGGGGCCTAAACTTGCGTTCTAACAGTACAACGCAACGCCTTCTTCCCAACGTTCTGCGAGACGAATTCCGTAATCTTTTGTACAGAGCTAAACTGGTCAAAATTTTCAACGTTTGAATCGTTACTTATTAAGGTCAATTTTATTTGAAATTTCTTCTCTATCAGCGCCTCATTATACCTTAAATGCAATATAGTGCTCCAAAAATCCTTCTCCAAACACAAAAGCTGATCCAACATCCGTGTAGTCGAGAAATCTTGCCACTGTGTCTCCAACGAATTTAAAAGCTGAGAATCCATGAGAGGTCCTGAGGATAACCAGAGCAAATACAAACTGCATACCCATTCCCCACAAGACGGGCCGCCACCTCACCTGAAATGCAATATAATAACCTAGATTTAAAGATTGCATCCCTAAAATACAAATCTTTTATTTAAAATGCTTCGAAAAGTCGGGACTATTTTGTCGCTGTTTTTACTGGAAGAGGCAGTCGTGTCCTTGCTAATCAACAAGGTATCTAGGGAATGGTCTAAATAGCGTCCAGTTAGTGCGCTTTTAAACCAATGATATTCGATACGTAAACTTATGTCAACCAATCAGAGCCAACGTAAAAATATCTCTTCAGCAATTTTCAGCCAATCAGAAGCAACGCCTCTCTTCCAAGCCACTGTCCCCGAGCTTGTCACTTATTTCCCGTTTTTAGCTGCAAGTCGTGACCGCCTGATAGAACGTCATTTACTCTATAATCTGATTCACTCAACCTGTGCTCCTGGTTCTTCTTGAATTCCTTGACCATGAGTGCCCCGGTCGTATTAGAGAGCATCAAAGACAAGACCCTTAAAACGAGCTTGTTTTTTTTTTTTCTACGAAAGTGGTTTGAATAAATACAACGTAACTTACTTTTCTTCGGTGCTTTGAGAACACCCAACTGATCCCCACATAAACCAGCATTCCCGCTACAGATATAAATCTTCTTGGGTCCTTAGCCGTGTCGAGCCCAAACCATAAAGCGAGCAACGTCAATACTACAAGCAACACAATCCTGTAGAAGACATGAGTAAACTTTACACTTACAACATTAAAAAGAAACTTATAGCAAACGATAACTGTTTAGTAATGTGGTAACCCTACTTGCAAGGGGGTTTAATTCCTGTTTTGGTGTTTGTATTTACCCCTAGTACGTTTTTGTTTTTTTAGTTGTCTGTTAGGGCGAGCGCACTTCTAGACTGCGGAAAAACAATATTGTTAGAGAAATCCAACTTTCAATTTCGATATCATTTTCTCTTACTGGAAGGTCTTCCATTGATAGATTTTCGTGGATGCAGAAGGATACCCCTTTTTGTACCATGCTATGGAAAATGCAGCCAATCAGAATATAGGAAGCCGTTGAATACTCGACGGTATTGCACCCAACCTTCACGTGTATTGATGGTGCTGGCCACTGTATTCTTTCGTGGTATACTTGAGCAATAGACCAATAGACCAATAGAATTCGTAAATCACGAGCCGCAGGCGAGTGATTTACGAATTCTTCCAACATACCAAGTGGTTTATCATGCCTCTAAACCATAGAAACTTGTGGTCTATTGCTTTTATATCATAATTTAGAAGACACGCGAAGTTTCCATGAGTTTACTGGCACAATAAACCATAGCTGATTGACCAATCAGAGCGCGCGCATTCGTTTAATTAGTATATAAAATGGAATATCCCGCTTGTCACCTCTATTTTCTTGGCATACACACTCGCCTAAAGGCTCGAGCCGAGGGAAAAATACAAGGATATTCCATGGCATACCACTCGAAAGCGTTACATAAATAGTATATAAAAGTTGTATACGTGGCACCAAAGGGTATGGTTTTGGGGCTGTTTGGTCCGAAAAAGAATAATGGTTCCAAGAAACGTGCGCACCACCCCACCGATTTTTTCGAGAGTACTCCTGGAGGCGTTTTGATGGAAATAGTACTGACTGATTCTCAACCAGTAACTTAAATTCCCAAACGGAAATACTCTTTTCTCTAGATCACGACACTTCGGGATTTGTCGCTCGACACTATCACTTGCTCTGCTGGGCACAATTTAGTTTTGACGGTCTCTCTCTGTCACGCAACGCTACGCTCACGACCGGACTACGCCATAGCCAAGGAGCTTTTTCTATAGGAGCAGCACTTAGCTGTTAAGTTTTTCTAACTGATTTTGCGGTAAGTCTATTTGAAGCTCTTACTTATTGAGTCAATTAGGTTTCTCTACGATGGTTTCGCGTTAGCCTCATACACAGATACACGCAACCGTCGTCACGCAACGCTCCCACCCTGGTTTCAGACCTTAAACCATCAGCGGCGGCCTAGGAGACTAGTAATTCATGCAACCTACCATCTAAGGAACTTCCATTTCCTTCGCACGAGTGAGATAACAGGCAAGCAGCAAGAGATGTAAATGGTCTCACCGCAATGGTCACGGATGAACATGTATATCACGCAAAACCAGAAAAGCATGGAGATGACGAAGAGACCCGTTGCGTGACGGAAGCCACTGACACTTATGGCTGCAAGGATAAGACAGAAAATAAAACGAAGCCGAAATAAACGATTAACTCGTCTTGATTACATGGTGAGAAAAATCACTACTTTCACTGATTTATGATCAGTCGGGATTTCTTTAATTTCTGTTAGAAACCTTGACTGCAAAATCAACTTCAGTAAAACACACATGAACTGACATCCTCCTTGATCCTGTTACAATTAATTGAACTGCAGTATGTGGTGCGGGATGGTACGAGAAATTTCTTCATATGGTCCCTATCGATTTACTGTATTTTTCTTTCAGCGCCACGAGTACCGATACTCTGCTCTTCTGTTTACTTCTGCCCTATTATTACACTCACCGACGATTGTATAGATAAGAAGTACAATTGCAATAAACACAACAACGATCTGGAAGGAGTAATCGACCCAGAAATCCTGAAGATTTCTTAACCAGCGCCATTTGCGGGTCCTTTCCACCGAGGCTGCCCGTGGCCTCCCATTCTCGATTGCTTCCGCTATATCAATATTGTTCATCTCTGTGCAATAGGAAACGGCGACCTGGAATAAACAAACACACTGATGGTGAAATGACTACACGTGATACATTTATTGCGTTTTGAATGGCTCAAAAGCGTCAAATTGTCAATATAAAAAGGTAGCTTAAACCTTATAAGGAAAACGAAAAACATATTGTCTCTGGAGTGTACCGTATAAATGTTAGGGGTCGAGAGGCCGTTGTCCGGGAGGTCACGGTCTTAGGTCGATCGTATATAAAAATAGCCCGAATGGTCGAAAAGCGCAGATAACCAATCAGTCATCTTGAAGCGCAAGCAGCTTCTACGGCGCATTCTGCGGTCGTGCGCATAGCCTGTGAACAGTTTCCCAGCTGAGGTATAGGGTGAAGAAAACCAGTGAGGTGAACAAGAAGGGTGTGGTCTAGGGCGGGTAGTTTTTTTCGTTCTTCGGAAACCTGTTCAAAGGCTGCCGTGTGTAGAGTGCGATACCCCTTGCATTCCTGTACCAAGCATTGGTGAGAGACTGGCGGAAAACGAGTCTAACCTGAGGACGGCCTACATAGCTCGTCAGAGAAAAGTCTTTCGGGTCGTGCTCAATGACTGATCGCACGCTTGGGTGATCTCCTCTGCAATCGTCCTGAACCGGAGTCCTTATGAATTAAGTATTCTTCCATGGAATAAATAATATTTTTCAGTGTCATTAATTAAGCCTTGTTATGAGAAGATTAGAACTTTTCTCTTGACCTTTCTGTAGCACCGCAACTGCCCTCCCCCCCCCATTTACCTCCCACTTCGCAAAATGAGAAGCACAGGTGAACCCCGTCAGACAAGACGTGATGGTTTGAAGGAAATTAAAGACACACCAAGAAGACCTTTTAAAATTATAATTTGATCATGATGATTTAATTTGATAGTTATTAATTATCACAATGATCGAAATCTTTAGCTTTCTTATTCATAGCCTGAAATGTCAGTTATCTCTCGCCCCTAAGCCCCGGCCAAACGGACTCACAAGTTGAACTTGCGTGGAGACTTGCGTTGAGTGGCCAAACGGACTCGCAAGTTTCCTCGCAAGTGCACGCAACAAAACCCATTTCAAGGCTACGGGCTTAGTCCCGCGCGGCCAAAATATAACTACCGTATCATGCAAACAAAATGGCGGATATTGTGGGTGATGTTGTAATTTATAAAAGGAAAACATACAAGATACATACAAGACTTTATTCAGGGGTTAAAGAAATAAAATTCAAAAGACACCCTGAAAGAGAGTTTAAGGACGTGGACCTAATGTAACAAACTCCCCTAAATAATACATACATTAAAAGCTAATGCTAAGTTTACATTACAAATAATTCACAAATACAAATTAATTGCTAAAAACAGCAATGCCTTGAAATCGCGATGCCTTGAGTTGGGTGGCCAAATGGTGAAACACTTGCGTTGACTTGCGGGCAAATTTGATCCCGTCCTTAGCCTTACTCCCCTGGGGGGAGATGACTGACATTTCGTATTAAAGAGTAGTCTCCTCCGCAGCCGTTTTTTGGGATGTCACGCAACGCTCCCCCCAAAGAAACGGCTGCTCACATCCGAACCACATTC